ATGTGGCACATGAATTGCCTGGAGATTCTGGCTGTATTTCAAGCTCTGAAACACTTTCTCCCGGACCTGAGAGGCCATCATGTGCTGGTTCGCACAGACATTCAATATGGAAGCAGACATCCTGTCAAGGCAGGGGCCGAGGCTCAGGGAATGGAGGCTCCACCCTGAGGTGGTGGAGCAGATTTGGAAAAAGTTAGAAAGAGCAAGCCCAGGTGGACTTGTTTGCATCTCGAGAGACCTTACTTTGTCCCCTCTGGTTCTCCCTCTCACATCCAGCTCCTTTCGGACTGGATGCTATGGTATGGTATGACCGAGGCTGCGTCTGTACGCATTTCTCCTGATTGCTCTGCTCCCGGGAGTTCTGGAGAGTGTTCGCCGTTGTGATGTGCATCTCATAAGTTAGTAGCTCCGTACTGGCCTGGCCAGCCATGGTTTGTGAAAAGCGGGACACCATCTTTCACCCCCATCTGGAGTTGTGGAAACTGTGGGTGTGGCCCCTGAGGGGGCACAACTCGTAGCTTCCGATCTCTCAACTAAGGTTGTTGAGACCATACTCCACTCCAGAGCTCCTTCCACGTGGAAACTGTACTCCTTGAAGTGGGTTGTGTTCACTTTATGGTGCGGATATCATCAGCTGCTCCCAGTTAACTGCCCGGTTGGTTTAGTTCTGGAGTTCCTGCAGGAACAATTCTTCACAGGTTTGACCCCCTCCACCTTTAGAGTGTTCATGGTGGCCATAGCTGCTTACCACATCCCTTTGGGTGGCCATTCACTGGGGGCGAAACCCGTTGGTACATGTTTCTTTCATTGTGCTTGAGGCCAGGAGAAGTATGGTTCGCTCCAGACTTTCAGGTGCATCTGTCTTAGCGGTGCTCGCCATGATTTCACACTAGACAGGCATTTGTCAGTATGGTGGTGTGGGCATACTCGTTCCCAAAGCATTTTCGACGCAGCTCGAGCTCCAGAAGGGGAACATCTCTAGGTTACGTACTGTATGTAACCCTGGTTCCCCGAGGGAGCGAGATGCTGCGTCACGTTGCCATACTTCCTGCATCCCTGTGAGCGACTTGCTTCAACTATTCAGAAGCTAACGCTGCTTGTTTCGGATGCACTTTTAAGCTCTCTGGTCTCTGCATCACCCTGCCCGTGACGTTTCACCATTCCATTGGACTGATTTCACATGTGATTTAGAGCGTGGGCACACAGGGGCGTTCCCATAGTTTTTTTTTTGACGCAGCGTCTCATTACCTCGGGGAACCAGGGTTACATACGTAACCTAGAGACGTTTTCGCCAAAGGAACAGTTCACTTAAAAATTTTAAAATCTGTCAATTCTGTCAAATCATTTCATGACATTTAAAACGAGATATTAGACATCTATATAAGAAGATTAGAAGATCTGTACTGCCAAGCACCAAAAATGTGTCAATATGATGTTTGAACTAAACTCCAAGTTTTCTGAAGTCATTGTTTTGAGAATCTGACATCATTGACTTTCATGCGTCATGAGATTTAAAAGCTACAGCAAAAGGTAAGATTGTCACGATGACTTACATTTTTGGTCTGTCCTTTAGTGTTGATAAAGAAATAATACAGGGATGAAACAACATTATAAATGAATGACTTTTTTTCAATTTTTGAGTAAGCTATTCCTATATATACATCAATATAAGTTTTGACTGTTTCAAATTATCATACTTTGATGCAACATCATTACCATTCATATACTTAAAAATAATGGGTTCAGTTCATCAAATGCATGTTCTGTTACACAGATTCAGATTTCCATCTCTCCTGCTTCCAAAGCATGGCTCAGGTTCTCCTGGGATACACTTGGCAAGTTCACTCCTAGATATTCCAAGAGGTTCTGAAG